GGGGGGGGCTGGGGGGGACTGGGGGCACCCCCCAACCCTGCTGGGACCCCCTGGGCTGGGGGGCACCCCCTGATCCTGTTGGGACCCCCCTGATCCTGCTGGGACCCCCTGGGCTGGGGGGCACCGGGGGGGGGGGGCTGGGGGACACCCTCTGACCCTGTTGGGACCCCCCGACCCTGCTGGGGACCCCCTGCCCCTCAGCCCCCATGGATTTTGGGGGTCTCACCGCCCCCCCCATGGATTTTGGGGGGGGCTCATGGATTTTTTGGGGGGTCTCACCGCCCCCCATCCCGCAGGGGACGTGGCCGGGGGCTGCAAATTGCTCCGGAACCGCTTCGAGAGCCGGGACCGGGAATGGGCGTCCTACACCTGTGTGCTGGGCTTCCACGTCTTCGGTGGGTCCGGGGGGGGCCCGCGGGGTGGGGGGGGACAGGAGGGGTGTTTGGGGGGACAGGAGGGGTGTTTGGGGGGACAGGAGGGGTGTTTGGGGGTCCCCCTGACCCCCCTTTCCCCCCCCCCCCAGGGGTGTGGCCCGACGGCTCCGACGGCACCGACATCAACTCCCTGTGCCGCTCCCACGGCGAGAGGGTCGTGGCCGTGGCCGACGACTTCTGCAAAGTTCACCTGTTCCAGTACCCCTGTGCCCGCCCCAAGGTGGGTTTGGGGGGCTCTGGGGGGGTGGGGGGTCTCTGGGGGGCTGGGGGGTTCAGATTTATCCTGTTCCAGTCCCCCTGCGCCCGCCCCAAGGTGGGTTTGGGGAGCTCAGACCCCGTGGGGGGGTGATTTGGGGGCTCAGGGGGTCCAGACTTATCCTGTTCCAGTGCCCCTGTGCCCACCCCAAGCTGGGGAGGGGGGGTCAGGGGGAGTCCTAGACCCAGTTTGGGGGTCGGGGGGTTCGGGTGTACAGGAACCACGTGTGTGTGTTGTATGACCATGTGTGAACATGTATGAACACGTATGAACATGTATGAACCCCCTTGTCCCTGCAGGCTCCCAGTCACGTGTACGGGGGCCATGAGTGTGCGTTGTATGACTGTGTATGAACACACATGAACACGTATGAACACGTATGACCCCCCCTGTCCCCGCAGGCTCCCAGTCACGTGTACGGGGGCCACGGCAGCCACGTGACCAACGTGCGGTTCACCCACGACGACGGGCACCTCGTGTCCCTGGGGGGCAAAGACACCAGCGTGTTCCAGTGGCGGGTGCTGGGGGGCGACCCCGACCCGCGCTGAGCCCCCCCGGCCGCCCCTTCATCCTCCTCATCCTCCTGCCCTTCCTCGCTGCTTCCTCTTCCCCTTCCCCTGCCCGGGACCAAAGGGGGGGGGGCGTTTTCCGCCCCCCCCCCCGAATTCGCTGCACTGTGAGAGGCGCCAATAAAGCCTTTTTGGGGTCGGGGCCGGGCCTCGCCGCTTCCTCCGCCGCGGGAACCGAGCCGGGAGC